AGATTAAAAACAAATAAATTTCAATACACAAAGATATCCATAAGCTTTCCTCTGCTTAAATCAATTTCTACCGAATACATCGTTCACTGTACCGTTACCTGCGTAAACTGAACAGAATCATACAAAAAAAAGGAAGATACAGCAAGTCAGTCACGAATTGTCTTGTTAGAATACGTTCAATGTTTTTAAAAAAGAAATCGATCCGAACAATCCGGATACGGGAAAAATTAGGTTTCATTAAACTGCTTATACTATAGCCGAATCGAAGTCAATTGTCCACTCAAGGCCACTGATGAGCAAGCTATCCCCATTGTAGGATTACCCCCCACCCCTCACACCCACACACACACACACACACACACACACACACACACACAGTGTTGGGCTATTCCCACCATACAGTTGAGCTACCACCGGTCCCGCTCTATCTTTCGTCTCTCCTCAAACAATTAAGCCTCGCATTCCTTGCCTCTGAAACAGAGAGAAAAAGCTAGCATGGCGTAAAAGTGGGAGTCGTATCATGCGGAATTCAAAAACCGGAAAAGCAACCTTGCGTGCTTAATCGAATTTTATTCGACTGGTATAGTCAAAGAGGTGAAATTTCATTGATCTGCTTGAACGACACAATACTTATATTTGGTTGTCCTTACATTACACGTCGAACCTTATCGGTGCATTCTGCTCATCGCAATGGATACGAAAGAGCAACAAACCTCATGTACACAAAACACTGCATCAAACAAATTGAATTGGGTTGTATGAGATTCGAGAAAGGTAAAAGAACAACTACTGCGACAAACCTAGTTTTCAAACAGCCTATACTACGTAAAACGTATCACTTTGAATTCATTGGAATTTTAACATTTTTTTTTTGGTTGGAATTTCATATCATCCATTACCGCCGCACCCTGCATAAACCGACGTGAGAATCCCTCTGAAACACAAGAACGTCCTTAAGAGTTAACAGGAAGGAAAATCGCATTGCAATAGTTACCAGCGAATTATTGTACCTGTTTTATACGAAGTCTGAACGATCTACGATCAAAAGCAGTCTTTTAAGAGTCGAAAAACGGACGCACAAACTATCCGTTGTTTTAGGAAACGGTTTCTGAGAGTTGACTGTTCCCTCCCACTTTCACTCTAACACGTCACTGAAGCTACAACACGGAATGATCGACATCTAATCTAAAGTCAAAACCACAGGCATTTTCCGTGCACGACAAACACGTTGTAGTATTCGAAGAACTGATATCTACGTTGCCAATCAACGACGGTTGGGCCGTCAGAAGAGTTACTCTATCGGTCCCGTGAATCCACGAGGAACCGCGTTAACCTCAACAGGGGACTTATTGTCACGTAGATTTGGCACAAAAGCCGCGCGGTGCGGGCTGTAACGGGGCCAATCCGAACGCAGCGCTAGCAATCGTTGTCCAAGACCTTACAAATCTGCAACTAGCTCTTCCCCAAACGGTATTATGATTGGTTGACGTTTGTAATTGCACGCGACTTGAACGCAAAACGCATCACCTTCCTTGGCCTGACGAAGGTTTCTGAGTTACTAGCAGCGGTTCCAAGGTAGACACGCCCTAAAAAAGCTACTCTGTGCGTCTAAGCGGGGTAGAAGCCGAGCAATAATAGCTTCAAAGTAGACACCGAAGCGAGAACGGCGTTCCGTCGGTACTGCTGAACAATGATGAACGATGATACTCGAACACTGAGAGTATTCGAAATCGTGGCAACAGGAAAGAAGCTGATTCCTTGTACGAAGGTCAGTCCAAAATGTGGAATAATATTTGTGTAAGTAAGACTTCGTGTTTGAAACAATCGAGTTTGAAAATTAATTTTCTATGCGTGTAATCGAAAATTAATCGTATTAAAATTAATTTTGTACTCCGGATAACTTAAAACGGTGTGTTTAAAATCTCTTGAAATCTCGTGTAATCTCTAAACTGGGGAAGACGAATTAATTCATTATTTATATTCATGTGTATGTTTCTATAAGTTTTTTTTTTATTTATTTACCCGAAAATTCCTGTATATCTAACTCTATTGTGATATGGATCGTATTTATGTGTATCTCGAAATAAGTCCCTTCAAATCATTTTTAGTCGTCTTTAATTGCGGCCATACAAGCGTTAAGGATCGGAAGATCGTCCAGTTAGAGCAGCTTACAACTTAAGCAATCTGCTTCACTTATATATGTATAGTGCAATAAAAATTACGAAGAATCCCAGAAAACACGCTCTTATGTCATTTTTAATCATTTTTATAAGAGTTTACGAACCAGTCATTTTGACTCCTTTGGTAGTTGTAGTGTTAATGACACGCATATCCCCTACGAATAATTAAATTCGATTATCTCGAAAATCGAGATGTACACAACAAAATTTCATCCTTGATTTTTGACTTACAGGGAAAGGTCGTGAACAATCCGGCTTCGATTTAGATGAAACTTTGTAGCTTGAAAAACAGCCAAAAGCAGTAGATACATATTTCTTTTAACTACAGTAACTCAAGTTTAAATGGTGAAATCACCCTCCAAAGTTCGACTCTCTGAGAGCTAACTCGGAAACATTGAAAAATAAAAAAATATTTTTTATGTACGGGCATAAAATATCAATTCGTGGTAATACGATTAAATTTTAGAACGACATTTTAATCTTACTGTTTTTCATGCAGACACTTTGTGTTGAATAAATTTTTTTCATCTGTGACCATAAAGCATACTAATGATGTTCAGCCAGATAATTGTGATACCGGGTGCACAGGATATGTAAACCTCAGTGTATAAAATATTTAACAAGAAATGTTTTTCGCGTGTAATAATATTTTTATTTTTTACCAGTGTTGAGGAAATAATTCACCCAAGCACCACGCTGCAGATGGAGGCAGCACCTCCCGGGCAACACATTAGCCGTCGCATCGCCAGCCGTCGCGATCAAGTCCCGACGGCGAACGACTGGGCCCGATCTCTCACGATCTGTGCGTGTAGAACAAACAGCCAAGTATGCGTTCGCGCTAGACGATACGGTCTATTCTCTTTGTGAAACTCACATGCGTTTTCATCCGGGGATACACGCAGTTTCCCTCGTAAAGATTCATCGTGCATTTCTGAGTCGGTTACACTCGTAAGGCGAATAAATCACTCTGACCCATTAATACAACCGCTCAGAGAGTTCTAAATCCCACGGTTACACTCACTGTCTCACCAGCATCACCACGTGCTCTGTAGAGGTTAGAATTCATTGTCCGCACTCATTACACCGCCATCGTGACTCGCATCAAGTGAATTTTCCGAATTACAGTCCACTAGCTTGTTCAATAATACCTTTTTGAACACAGAGTATAAAAAGAGAGGATTATAAAAGAATATTAATCCGATTAATGTTATTAATCTTTTGCTTGCTACCTTTTGCATCAATTGTTGGCCGGAAAATCCGATCACTGATACGGAAATTCAATTAAAAGAGAATTTAGCAAACATTCTTCGTAGAGCTATAGAAGATAATCTATTTGAATGGGTACAGTTCAATCAGTTAGGCTTCGAAAAACATTTTGGTGTTCATGATGCTCACATTGTTAAAGACCAGGATACAGAAGATACAGAGTATGCAGCGCCGATAACCACTGTATGTTCACAGAATGAGGACAAAATTGATTTTGAATATAAAAAGGATGCCGTTGAATATTAGACAAGTGGGAAGACAGGTAAACGGTCAATAACAGCGGTTAAACATCGTTTTAGGAAGGTTACTTCAGAACGACAACTACGGCGTTGGATGGATCAAGTACGTGAAGGTGGATCACACAAAGATAAATTACTGCGTATAAGTGCTCATACACTGCAAAACTTTATAGAGGCTATGGGCAAACAGTTAATAGTTTAAAGATGTAGACCTACAACGTTGGGCTTTAAACGCAAAGAAAATAGTTAATCTTAAGGAATTTTTCGCCTCTTCCCATTGGGTATGGAAGTTTAAAAGAATGCACGGAATAGTATCCTGTAAGGAAATTGCACATTGTGAAGTTTTCATCAATAAAGTGAAGTCGCACCTAACAGCAAGTGAACCCGAAAATGTCTTTAATTCCGATCAGAGTGGATTCAACTTCGACCATCATTCTGATAGAACGTTGGTTCACCGAGGGTCAAAGAAAGTGGAAAGTGTAATTCAGTTTGTCATCGACAACTCACAGCTAAACGATTCAACCTACGATATCCGTTATTGGCAAACTCCTTTCTCCTCTTTTGATTGTACTTAAGGAAATCGGCGGAGAGTTTGGACCAAGGGTTCAAGAAACTATGTTTAGGCCGAAAAATGTTTTTATACTGGCATCTACGTCTGGAAAATTAACATCAGCCCACCTGAAAACTGGGTTGAAAGATGTGTTTTTCGAGTTTTTTTCGTAACGTCGGATTATCAAGTGTTTTATTGTTAGATTCCTGAGGAGGTTAGTGTTCTAAAACGGTTTCGGAGACTACGTCACATGATAAACAATGGAAGCACCTTATCATACCGAAAGGCACAACGAGAGGAATTCAACTGCTAGATGTTTATGGATATCGAGTTTGGAAAAACTTTGTTAAACGCTTCTCAGACATAGTTATACTTTCCGATTACGTTGTTAATCTTCATTTAAGGGACAATATTATTAAGCTTCAATCTCTGCAACACAATCAGTTATCTTTGCCAAGATTTACAAATGTTTTCAAATATTCGTAGTTTAAGAGTGGCTATATAGAAAACAGGCCCCCTCATTTTGACAATCCAGTAGATTTTTGTTTCGGTGCAAATTTAGCACCAACATGTGACATTTGTGGAAATGCTGCTACAATTACAGTAGGTCAAAAAATATTGGCACACCTGCCTCTTTTTAAATATCTTTATAAAGGGTGTTACAATAGTTTGGACAGATGTTAAATGTGAACGGAGCTTAAACGTCAATTGTTTTTTGAGGTTAGTTTTTTGTTTTGACATCTTCAGTTATTTACAAATTGAATCATGGAAAAGTTGAGCATTGAACAACGTGTTAAAGTTATTGAAGCCTATTACGAAAATGGACGTTCAAACAAAAGTGCATTTCGCGCTCTTCATAATTTTTTCGGCCCGCATAATCGACCAACCGACAGTGCTATTGGGAAAATAGTGAAGAAATTCCAAGAAACCGGGTCTGTGGCAGATGTTAAGAAGCCAGTACGTGCTCGTGCAGGACGCTCATCCGAAAACATTGCTGCCGTGAGGGAGAATGTGGCCGAAAGCCCAAACACCTCTATTCGACATCGAGCACAGGAATTGCACTTGTCCACGGCCACTTTGCATCGGATATTGACGAAAGATCTGTCGTTGCACGCGTACAAAATTCAATTAACGCAAGAACTTAAGCCGACGGACCATTTAAAGCGCCGTACATTTGCCGGTTGGATACACGAACAAAGACAAGCGAATAACGAATTTTCTACCAAAATCCTCTTCAGCGACGAAGCCCATTTCCACCTCAATGGCTACGTCAACAAGCAGAATTGCAGAATATGGGCTGATCTTGCGATTTGACACCGTTAGACTTCTTTCTTTGGGGCCATCTGAAGAGTAAAGTGTATGTCAACAAGCCAACCACCATCCAGCAACTCAAAGACGAGATTTCACGGCGCATTGATGAGATTGAGGAGCAATTATGCCGAGATGTTATAAAAAATTTTGATATGCGGATCGACGTGTGCCGCCGGAGCTGTGGCGGACATTTGGCGGACATTATCTTTCACACTTAATTGTAACGGATCAAATAACATGTTTCATTAAAGAAATCTTCATTTTTGTACATCACTGATTTTTAATTAACGTTTAACATCGAACCGTCTTATTGTAACACCCTTTATATTGAAGTGATATATTAATACAATGTGTCCTTTAATGTCTTCTAGCATACAGAAGTAGTGTATCGTTTCAGAACTCTGAATAATGTAGTTTAAGCAATTAAAACAATAAAAACGAAAATTTCATACTCAAAGAAGTATTGGCCTACGTGACTCTAATATAATATAAAGTCCACAGTTACTTGTTTTTGCATATCTTAAACACAACTGTAACAGCACAAATGTAATCAATCATTGTTTACATGCTTCACTTCTGTCGATTCGTACAGTTAGTCCGTGTTTACACTTACAAGGAAAGGCACGGAAGTGTCCCCCTCCGATTTTGATGAAACTTCGTATGTCGGTTAAGCAGTCCAAAATAAGGGATACGTATTTTTTTTGATTGGCTGAGACGCGACTTTAAGGGGTGAAACCACGTCTCGAAGTTTCGATCCAAAAGTACTATCTCGAAAACCAGAGGAGATACATGAAAACTTTTAATGGACGAGGTTTGCGGTTTTTTATGTCAAATAATATGGTGCTAACAAATTGTCCAAAATATAATTTGTTTATAACAAACAAATTTTCTACAATTTTATTTTACACCTTATTCAAGTTTGCATAATAACAAAAAGTAACGAGCATTTTATTCCAGATCCATTGATATATTTGTTTTTCAAATTGCCTCCTACAGTTTCGCAAATTTTTATAATTTATATTCCTTGTCGTGCACAAGATCGTACCCCTTGAGTCACCTCGCGACAGATAAGCGCAGCGATAAATGCAGTATATAGAGTCGGTAAATGGAGTGATTTTTTACTTTGTCAAGTATTTGAATTCAAGACGTCTAGTTATTCTCGGAATTTACTGTACACAATGGTTTGTAGGGAATATGTACGGATGGATGTATGTGTGTATGTGTATCGAGGTGACGCGACGCATGATATACGGCAGATCGAGAGTGTAGCGAGACGACTCGGTTGGCATCGGAAATAAAAGAAGCGCGATTCCAACCGTCACGACGCGTCGCGTTCGACTTCGGGTACTAATCGTTCGTCGTTCGCTGCTCATCTCCATGCTGAGATCGAATAAACACCACTTATAATATACCGTTTCCTTTATTGTCGCCCATCCTACAGGTTTATATTAATCCGATAAATGTGCTTACTTGACTATCCACAGCTTTTAATTCTGCGGATAAAAAAAACGCCTATTAATAGCGCCGAGTTACATTTAAAAAACAATTTATATCATATAATTGTGCAAAGTATGTAAAGCCCAATATTCAGTATGGAACAAGGAACAAATTTAAATATGGATAGACACTTTGCAAATATTGATCATCCGGATATTGATATGGACAATGAGTGGCTGGCAGGAATGGAAATGGACCTTACTGATAATGAGGAACAGAATCAACAATCAGAAAAATGTACGCCCCTTGAAGCACCAACAAATTTCGAGTAAAGAAGAGATACTGTGGAGTACTGGAAGAGTGGTAAGACGAAACGTTTGAAATTAGAAACAGTGCAATGTAGATTCAAAGTGGTTAAGTCCATTTGGCAGTTACGTAGATGGGCTGCTCAGGTTGAAGAAGGTGGTACACGTTTGGATAAATTACTAGGCATCACAGATTATATATACAAAAATGTCATAGAAGCAATTCAATCAAAAACAATAATACATGACATAGACATTCGGCGGTGGGCGTTACAAGCAAAATTGTCAGAAGATTTACCATCATTTACAGCTAGTCGTACATGGTTGTTAAAATTTAAAAAAGCATATTATATCGCGAAAAATTGATAGAGAAAACGAACAGACTTCTTCATAGTTTACACAACTTTTTGGAGCGTGTTAAATCGTGTACCGATTGTTACGGATTTGAGAATTTGTACAATTCGGATCAAAGTGGTTTCAACCTTGAACTAACATTCTGGACGAACTTTCGCACTGCAAGGTACGAAGAAAGTAGAAACTATGATACAATCAATGCTATCCAGAACTCATAGTTACACTATACAACCCACTATCTCTGCAAGTGGAAAACTACTGTCTCCTCTTTTCGTCGTGTTAAAAGAACCATCTGGAGAATTTGGACCTATAGTACAGCAGACCATGTTCAAGGCAGCGAACATTTTTGCTACAGCGTCAACATCTGAAAAACTTACAAACCAACATTTTAAAACTTTGTTAAAGCAATTTTACTTTCCTAATACAAACGATAAGACCGTTTTATTATTAGATTCTTGGAGTGGGCATTGTAGTCGTAGTATTAAAGAGGCTACACTAGAAAATAAAGAAATAGCAGTATTTACGATTCCAGCAGGGACTACAAAACATGTACAACCATTGGACGTGTACGGATTCCGCATATGGAAAAATTTTGTTCACCGCTTTTCGGACATAGTCCTCTTATTGCATTATGACATTAATCTCCACACGAGAGACAATATTTTGAAACTATTATTACTTGTACTTGGTGCCGAAAGCCGCTATGTTTGAAACATTTCTTCAACGATTATCATTATTGTCATGACTATGTTTCTTAAGTTCTTCGAATTATTCGTTCCGCGTTAAGATTGTCAGTTTAATCCATCTCCCCTGGAGTGTGTATAGCTGTAACTGTTTTATAAGATGCAATACAAATTTAATAAAATTAACTATTATATATTGCAAAAATAATTATTTTTCACTTACACGTATAAATAACGTTGGCTAATAATGCAATATCGTACGATACGACTCGATTTAGTGTCGCGAGGTGATTCAAGGGGCACAGTCTTGCGCACGGCAGGGGACATAAATAATAAAAATGTTAGGTGTTTGCGCGATGCGGAGTTTGTATATGGCGCGATAATGACGTCACGCGCGCGCAGTCACGTGATGACCGATAGATCGCTACCTATGTAAATCGTTTCCGCCGGCCATTACCTTTGCGAGAGCTCCAAGAGTTATCACGTGTACGGCCAATGTAGTAGTGTGTAATATATTAATATATATCTATATGTACACTACCGGTCAAAAGTTTGGGTCCACTTGCTTTATTTTTGAATTCTACACAATTAAGTCGGCTACTCAGTGGATTTTGTCAAACACGTGCGTCTTGCTACTGGTCAGAGTGGAGAGGGCGCCCTTGGGAGACGCGTAGATCGAGCATAAACGTGTTATGACTTGTTGCATTCTATCGATGCGTCTAGTGTCTATTACGCGTAACACCATTGTGCTGCAAAAACTCACTCCAAGAGTTATATTTCCAATTGTTTGTTATATTTTTCTTTGCACAAAGTTGAGCAGAACATTTTTCGTATTCAAAATCGTAAGTGTTCGACAAAAATTTTTATGTAAATTGACGTAATTCGAAAAATATCATCTCATTATTGAAATGTGAATAAAACTATATATTTCATGTTTCATTCGTAGAGAAATGGGTCGAAAAACAGAGCTGAGTGTAGAGACACGAGCAGTTATTGTGGCACTACATGAAGAAGGTTATTCAACGCGAAAAATTGCTTCTAAATATAATGTTTCTAAAAATGCAGTCATGAGAGCGTTACAAAGAAAGAGCGAAACAGGGTGTAATCAGAGTCGTCATCGTTCTGGGAGGCCTAAAACTACGTCAAAACAAGAGGACAAGTTCATCTCTGTTGTAAGTAATGTAGTCGCGATACCTAGGTTAGACGTATCTACATTGTACATGCTTCGGGTAGACGTACCGGCGAGGGACGAGTGCCTCCGAACGAACCGACACGAAATCGGACGACGATAGCCGAAGGTAAAAAAGGAAGAAGACGACCGAGCGGCGACCATTACAGTGGCCGCAGTTGGTCTGTTACGTGCTCTTATGTGCCTTATGTTTTTGTCTTAGAATATATATACATTGTTACTGTTTTCCCCTTTCGCGTCAATTATTCAAGTTCCATTTTTTTTTCGCCAACATCCTGACTCAACCACTACACTAAGAAAAATCGTTCTCTCACAGCCCCCGAAATTCGCGAACAACTCGACTCCGCGCGCGAAACACCAGTATCTGTTTCGACGGTACAGCGACGTCTACGAAATTATGGCTTGAAAGGATGCGTCGCCGCTAAAAAACCATTACTACGCAAGCAAAACAAAGTTAAAAGATTGAAGGGGGCTAAAAAAACATAAAGATTGGACAACTGAACAATGTTCTAAAGTCTTGTTCACGGACGAATCAAAATTTGAAATTTTCAACAAACGACGCCGACAATATGTTCGTCGTTTGGTTGGCGAACGCATGATTAACCAATGTGTGATCCCCACGGTCAAGCATGGTGGAGGGTCAGTGTTAGTCTGGGGATGCTTTGCTGGAGACATTGTTGGTGACATTGTGAACATTGAGGGTATCATGGACAAAAAAGTCTACCACAACATTCTTCAACGGCACGCTTTTCCGTGTGGGAAAAGAATTGTGGGTCGCGGATTCGTTTTTCAGCAAGGTAATGATCCTAAGCACACTTCTAAATATTTCCGGGATTACATCGCAGCCAAAGAGAAGCAGAAAGAACTCAAATATATGGAATGGCCTCCTCAGTCGCCGGATTGTAACCCGATCGAGTTGCTGTGGGACGAGTTGGACAGACAAGTGAGAAAATTGCAACCAACTAATACAAAACAGCTTTGGACGTTCCTACAGAATTGCTGGAATCAAATAACGACGGAATCATTGCATAAATTAATTGAAAGGATGCCCAGAATATGCGCTGCTGTTATGCGAGCAAAAGGCGGATATTTCGAAGAATCAAAAATATAAATAAATACTTGCGGGTTTCTTTGTGAGTTGACATATTTTGTATAAACAATGATTACTTTTTCATAAATATTGATAATAAAAAATAATAAACGAAGAAAACCATGGTTTTTTGAACATTTCATTAACATTGTGAAGTGGACCCAAACTTTTGACCGTTAGTGTATATCACTAAAACGAGGAGTAAAAGTATTATTCAAGCCTCGATCCTTAACAGTGGTTATGGGCCCAGTTTACGAAAATAAAGTGAAAAGGGATCGTTGAAAGCGAGAGTGCGCCCCGCACAAAGTAAAACGTGAACTTCTTATTAGACTAAAAGTGTTACAAGTACGCCAAAATAAGCGAATTAAAAGGTGAATTCCAAATTACCAAGCTGTCAGATTCAAATTACCAGAGCTGGAAAACAGAAATGCGTTGGTATCTCAGAGAAAAAGGCCTGCTCGACCACGTGCTGACAACAAAGATACCCCCCGAAAATGCTACGGAAACAGAGGTAAGAAACCACCAAACTATTGAAAATAAAGCGTTCCTGGCTATCGGCCTGTATATCGAAGCAGACCAACAAGTTCGTATAGAAGATTATGCCAACGCGTTCGAGGCATGGGAAACGTTAAAACAAATTCATCAGCCTAAGTCTCGAGTCCGCATTATGCAACTAAAAAGGGAATTTTACAACTTAAAGATGAAAGACGATGAAGGTATGTCCGCTTATGCATCTAAGGTTAAAGTAAACGAGGAAAACCTAAGGGAGGCTGGATCAGAGATCAAAGACGAGGTCCTTGCGTACAGGATGCTAGCGTGACACCCAGATAGCTACGAAAATCTAAATATGACTTTAGCTAGTCTTCCAGATGAAAAATTCACTTCCGCAAAGGTTAAACAGGTTCTATTAGCAGAATATGAGATCCAAACTAGAAGAAGGAAGGATGTCTAGGATGGATAAAACGACGGAACATCCCAGGGAAACTCTGCATGTAAATAAGAGACCTGAGAGGAAAGGGCCTAAGACACCGAGTGACAATGCCAGACAACCAAGGAAGTGCTATAATTGCAATAAAATCGGGCACATGGCCAGGGATTGCTGTACGAGGGTAAACAGAAGCAAAAGAGGACCCGAAACGAGACACATAAAAAATGATGATGCATTCCTGGTAAGTTTAACACTAAACCTACCAGAGCGGTCAAATGACCGCTTTTGAAACTTTAATAAAAATTGTTAAATTCCAGGTTTTCATTTTTCTTGAACTTACTGCATGACTTTTTCTATAATATATAGCTACTTAATTTTTCAATATCTATCTCTCTTCTTCTTTCGTTTTTCCTGATAATCATATGTACTATACCCTTATCTACCGTGAGCGGTCTTTTGAGTAGTAATTTTTATATTTTATTATTAGTGGATTATTCAAACTCAAACTCAAAAATTTATCTCTAAAATGTCAAGACAAAGGAAATTCTTGGAAGAAATAAATAATATAAGCGAGCTGTTATCTGAAATCGATAAAGGAGAGAATTCTGAGAATGAAGATGGTATATTTGAGAATGATAATGATCTATTGGACACTGACTCTGAGCTATTCGACACGGATAATGAGGATGAGAACATTGTGAATACGCGTAGGGGACAAAAAAGAATGAGATTGTTATCTAGTTCCGAAGACGAATGTGAAGAGAACGATCAGAATAGTGAAACTTCAATTGATGGAACTGTTTGGCAAAAAATTCAAGAAGGTTCTGAACCTGGAAGATCCTCGCTTCATACTGTTTTCAGAGAAATATCAGGGCCAACGGGTTATGCGAAACGCAATGTTATGAAAGGCAAAGTAAGGAGTGCATTTTCGTTGATACTTGACTATCGCACTATGAATCATATAAAAACGTGCACGGAATCAGAAGCACGTCGAGTTTTAGGATCCGAATGGAGTCTAACTTCAGCGGATTTAGATGCTTTTATTGCAATTTTATATGCACGTGGAGCATATGAAACAAGAAATTTGAACGTTTCATATTTATGGAATAAAAAATGGGGTCCTGCATTTTTTTCACGTACAATGAGCAGAAATCGTTTCACAGAAATTATGCGATTTATTCGTTTTGATAGAAGAAGCGAGCGGAGCCAGCGTTTGCAGACTGACAAATTTGCTCTCATCTCGAAGGTATAGGATACATTATATAGAAAATAGCCAAAACTGCTACAAACCAGGTGCAAATATTACTGTTGATGATCAGCTATTTCCGACAAAAGCAAGATGCAGATTTACACAGTATATGCCCAAGAAACCCGATAAGTTCGGAATCAAATTCTGGTTGGCATCGGACGTTGAGAGTAAATATATTGTGAATGGATTTCCATATTTGGGAAAAGATGAGATGAGACTGTTATATCCTGTATTCTCAGAACCTCTTTTCATTGCACACTTTTACTATATTACTTTCAAACGCGAAGAACGAGCGAAAACCGTTAATTCAGCAACACGTGGAAGCAAAGGGGTGGTTGTCTTTTTTCGAGACGCTGACGGAAACGTCAGCGATTCTAAAACTTCGCTTCGGCGACCATCGTGAATCATAGCCTGTTGCCACCCCGTATCTTGCGCGTTTTCTAACAAAAGGAAGGGGGAAAGAACTTATAAAAAGGATTGTTCAAAACCGGGAAAAAGGCAGTATTCCGGCTCTCATTTACATCGTGACAGATTCGGCTCGTGTGACATTCTTCTACGCCTTGTTCGTTCGCTCTTCGACAATCGCGCTCCGCTTTAATCTCTTATACGTGATAGCGGGCTGAGCGACAACGGTCACTCAGGTGTTCAGTTCGGGTTTCGCGACGATATCTCTTCCTTGTACAACGCGACCTTGCGATTACGCGCGGCCTACAGACGAGTTTTATAAGACACCGGACCGCGAAGTGCAACGTCCGAGACGGCGACAACGTATCCCGCAGTGCTTAACCCTTTTAGTACCGAACGACGATATATCGTCGTTCGGTGCACTTGCCAAAAATACCAACGACGATATATCGTTGCGCCTCCGTTGGAGTCTTATTGTACTCATCACAAGAGGTCTGTGTTTCAAAATAACTTTATAAAATGTTAAAATGGTTCATATTCGATGCAACACAAGTGAAAAAATGGTTATTAGATTTAACTTTTTGTTATATTTTATGCTGATTAGTGCCGCGGGTCTGTATATGTTAGAGCGATAAGATAGAAACGGGACCCGGGATATCCCTCGGATATTCGTCGACACGGGATAGTTTCTCTGGACCGTAATCGCAATCTTTACGATGTTTATGATAGTTCTCGGAGTATTCAAATGGCATGCGTGCATCGACTCGGCAAGCCTAAAATCTTTTTCAGTCTTTCTTGATCCTTCTAACGTGCAGTCAGTATTCAAAAACCGTCAACGTTTTCATAGAGACACAATTAGCAGTAGAAAATTTTGTCAGTTTTGTCGATACCTTTTTGAAAAAATTATACCCTGTTACGAACATGGATGACGCAGAATTAGTGCGAATTATTGACGAGTTGGATATAACTGAAGAACATGGTGACAGTGATGAGGATGAGCAATTATTTGCGCCAAGCCGTCGGTGTGATCGCAGAATATATAGCGACAGTGAGTCTGGCGAAGAAGAATCGCAAGATGAAGATAACGAGAGTGATAGTGACGAATCTCTGACGAATTTCAGGGAAGTAAATGTGGAAAACGATATCCAATATAACCCGCGCCCACTATTTTTGGAAATGACTGGCCCTAAACATATGCCACCGAACATATCGAAACCAATAGAGTATTTCAATTTATTTTTTACACTAGAATTTCTGGACATGTTGAGAATTGGAACAAATCGGTATGCACAACAGTTTTTCGAGAATGCTGGAGCAGCAAATACATCCACAACACTGACCTGGAAGAAAACAACAATCAAAGAGTTGAGAGCATTTATAGCCGTTTTACTCGAAATGGGAATAACCCGTAGGCCAACAATTTTTAGTTACTGGTCACAAAATCATCGACACATCCCATGGTTTGGCCAAATGTTTAGCCGGAATAGATTCCAGTTGCTTTGTAAATTTTTTCATACCGTGGACAATAGCACATTACCAGCACGAGATAACAGTGAATACGACCCAACAGCAAAGTTTGAACCTGTCGTTGCTCATGCAAATAGAAAATTCAAATTTCATTATTCACCACACCAGCACTTGAGCGTGGACGAATCATTAGTAGGAACAAAAAGCAGATCAGCACTCACCCAGTATTTGCCAAATAAGAAGCACCACAAATGGGGCATAAAATTTTGGATGCTAGCCGATGGGATCTCCCATTATTGTCTGTCATTCTTTTGCTATCGGGGAGCCAAGGACCAACGGGACAAGAGAGAAATAAAAGAAAAAGGCCTCGCTCAAGTAGTAATAGATAAATTACTCGGTATGAGTAACTACTTTATGAAAGGATACCACATAACTGTCGACAATTTTTTTACCAGCATTGCCTTAGCAAGATCTCTGTTTGAGAAAAATACATTTTTATCCGGAACAATACGCAGTAATAGAAAACATATTCCATCGCAGCTCAAATCAAAATTGGAAGTGGGCGAATATAAGTACCAAAGAAATCGGGAAATACTTCTATTAGCGTACAGAGAAAAGAAGTCACAGAAAAAAAATGTACTACTGTTATCAACGCATGGAACAGCCGCAAATAAAACGACTGTAATTCGAAGACGGAATCAGGAAAGGGAAGTTCAAAAACCAGCACTCATCCACGACTACAATAAATATATGGGAGGCATTGATGTCTCAGATATGATGATCTACTCATATTTGGATGAGGAGAACAGTGAAATACTGGAAGAAAGTGGTATTTTCCATTTTTGCTCGCATGGTCTTGAATGCATACATATTATACCAACACAACAGAGAAGGAAAGGTTATGACTCGACTCGAATTTATAACCAGTATCATTCAGTCGATCTCAACAGAATGGATGGCGGAAAAAAATATGAATCCAGAAAGTTCATTGGGTCACACATCGAGGGATTCAACAGTCCCAGGTATCCGCAAACTTCCTGGAAGAAGGGAAAAAGTTTGCGTAGTTTGCAGTAGGGTGGATGGTGGGCCTGTGCGAAGATCGCGCACAATTTGTAATAATTGCAATAAAGGGTTGCATGGTATATGCATTAGTAAGCATCAATGCTAATAAATTGCTTGTGTAAGTAAAAGTAAGGAAATATTACATATTTTTAGTGGCCAGAAAACTAACTATAAATATCTATAATAACACTTATATTTTTTTTAGTGACGTATTACCAGCTGCACGATCCACTTGTGTAGTAGATCTGTCTGACGCTTGCCGTGCATCATAGCGTTATCCTTCCGTTTTGTTATCCGACTTCTGCTATTGTATTGCAAATGATTGCAAAATGCAATGTCTATACATTATACTAAATGATGTATATAGAGCTATGACCAAATGATGACTTTTTTATGTGCAATTACCATTTGAAAAAGAGAAATCACTTTTGTACGATTTTTGTTATGTCTTATGTTTATGTTGTTCTTATGATTTTCAACAAATAATGAAACACAATTCGTATCGTTTTATTCTCCCTTTATTTCCGAATATGCTGCTTTTTATATTTTGTAAATATCACTTCTACTTTCGTTTTTACGAGCATTTTCGCAAACCTCTGCAAATTCGCCGATTCGGCCCGGTATTCTTCGCTTAGGTACGTTCTTTTCGCCGGTACTAAAAGGGTTAAACCCTGTATCACGGCTCCGAGCGCCAGCGAGTCTTCCGCCCTTTCAGGGACCCGAAATCCCGATAGAACCGACTAAAGCGACACGAACCTATCATTCATCTTCATCACCAATGGTATGTTAAAACTTATTTGTATCTTTTATTTTATTTGTTTTATTGTTAGAGTATATCTTTATTATTATTATAAACGAGAGTGATTTCCTATTCCTCCCGTTCCATATCCAAACCGCGTACTTCACCGGTAAGTTTAGACAGGGCGTGCTTTACCACCTTAAAAGAGCCCGGACCCGAAATTATAAGTAGAATAACGACCGCAACGCGGGACGTAACAAGACCATCAGCAATACCACTTATTGTTAGTGAATTTGTTGTTCTCAAACTCACTGAACCATTTACAGGGTGCGAAAGAAATATAACCACCGATAATTTTTTTACGAGTACATCTTTAGCAACAAAACTTCTATCAAAAAGAACTACCTTAGTAGGAACTATTCGAGCAAACAAGAGGGAATTACCCAAACCTGCGAAACAGAAAAAAGACAATATGACACGTTTTTCAACGCATCTTTACAAATCAAATAATTGTACGCTGACAATTTATAACAGCAAACCCAAAAAAATGTTCTCTTACTAAGTTCGAAGCATAAATTTGTAAAAATTGAAAAAACAGGTAAATATATTCCTGAAACTATTGCTTTTTATAATAACACTAAATTTGGCGTGGATATGACGGATCAAATGGCTAGAAAGTACAGCACAAAATCTAAATCGCGTAGATGGCCTGTCCAAGTATTTTTCAACATTCTTGATTTAGCTGCGATAAATGCTTGAATTTTATATAAGCAAACAACCGGAGAAAGGATATCGCGACAAGAATTTTTATTTCAGTTGGCAGAGGAACTTGCCACCGAATATCGAGATTTATAGGAACAAGAAACAAAAAGTATGGAGAGAACTTCAGCAGATTCCACTACAATTTCTGAAAGACGAAAGACATGTCAATTTGGATTTTGCAAAAAAAATAAAACCATAAACATCTGTTTTATATGTAAAAAATATGTTTGTGGAAAATGTTCACGGGAGAGACCTTCCATCTGTAAAAAGTGCAACGACGAATAAATTTTATTTTAATTTGAATAACGATATCTATGTAAATTACTGAAGTAAAATATAATTTTGTAGCCTTCTTTCTAAAAATGTGTATGCCTAAAATCCAAAAAAATAAATGTTTTCTAATTAATACATGACAATTATTTTGTGTTTTATTGCCCCTGCTAAATTCTGTATTATTTATAATCAATTGGAAAAAAATATAACGTTTATTTGAAAAGCGGTCATTTGACCGCCATCGGTAGAAACAGGTATATATCAAATGTCGGTAGGTTTAGTGGTAAACAATGTA